GCTTTCTCAAAATCACATAAAACCATATTATAATATCAACTGAGATAAAGAAGAAAATGAAATATTAAAATCATGATGTATATCGTTGCATTGCACGAGTACGCTTCTAGTTAACCATAAGTTGTTTACTTATTTTTTTGAGTTTATATCTTGTTTAGATGAGCACAACCATATTTGTATGTAATTTTATGCTCCGATTAATATTAATTATTACCTCAATGTTAGATAATGATACACACAATATTTTATGGATGATAAGAATTGCAAACCAAACAACATGTAGGATTTGAACATTTTTACAAACCACAAACCAAATTATAGACAACTCAGACTGCGAGGTTTATGTTGATTGTATCTAAATAAATGACTAATTAAGGGGTCGTTTACCTAAACACTTACCGGTAAAATTCAACATTATCGTTTATTTACCGGGTAAGATTTTATTCACTAAAGCGCATCGTATGCAACAATTTATCCCGGTAAGCGCTAACCATAGTAAGAGTCCTCGTCCTCACTTATCGGGTAAGATTTTTAGTCCTTGTCGTATTCATCTGGTAAGGTAAAGTGATTTGATAAGCGCTTACCCGGGTAAGTGTTTAGTAAACGACACCTAATTTAAAACAAACCCAACTTAGGCTAAAAAGCTAATACTCATTAACAATTTATGCAATTTGTACTTAAACGTCAACCAAAACCATATTGGGGGTGTTTGGGATCGTTTATTTAAAACAACTTGTGTTTATTTTTGTAAAAGTGTTTATCAACTTATGTGATGTCACACATGAGTTTTACAAAAAGTGTTTGGATTAGTTTATTATGATACCAGAATGTAATAAGCTGGTACTAAGGTGTTTGGATTAGCTTATACATGTAAAAACTTTTTATTACTAATACCACACCAGAATAAGTTAATAAGTTATAAGAAATTAATGTACCAAAAACTTCTTATTACCAGTATAAGTATTTTTTTTTTAATTTTTTCCATCCAAATACTAAACTCCTTATCATGGTATTACACCGGAATAAAAAATAAACGCTTTAAATAAACAATCCCAAACACCTGTACTTTTTATCATAAACATACGTACTTTCTGTGCCTAAAAAAATAAAACGTGTTTAAATATCATATACAAATTATTTTGACTAATGGTAAAACAAAAGCACACTTTAAGTACCGGTTCTTGGGCTCAGTATTATGAGGCCCAGTTCAGTATATCAAACGAGTTTGGTCCTTCTAACTTTCTAAGCATTGGTTTGGTCTTTTGCTTAGCCAAAAACCGGTTTCGAGCCAAGCCGAGCCAAGCCGGTCTTTATTGGTTCCGGTCGAAAATAGTAAACCCGGTTAAGCATTTTTATAACCGGTTATGGTTAGCCGATCCTGGTCCCGACCAAAAAAAAAATTGAACTTTTTTAGTGATAAATTTTTTTAGTACATTATAAAATTTGTAATTAGGTCACTTAAATACACTTTAAAAATGCGTTTTATTTTAATTAAAATCGAGAATTGTGAACGTTTTTTTTGCGTTTTGTAAGTTTGTATGTAAATCCTTCAATCATGACACTGATATACAGGGTTATAGAAGGCAAAAAAGTCAAAAAAGACAAAAAAAGGGTTATATAACGATTATATTTTTCAAAAAAACAGCTATTTTTTTAAAAACCAGGCCAGGCCCATAACCGATACCGGCCGGGCTTGTCCCTCGAAACCCTCCAAAACCATAACAGGTCCCATTTTTGATTGAGATTACTTTATCTATACTATATTATAATGCATTTGGCTAAAACTCTTAAAAACTCTTAAACTCTTAAAACTCTTAAACCCGTTCATCCCTATCCGATTTCATCCCATAACTGAATCCGTGTAACTAACTGCAGATAAACACAATCAAATACAGGATAAACATCTTATTTTAAATATAAAAAATCTAAAATATAA